CTTCCCTTCCCATCCCATCCCATCCCATCCCATCCCATAGGGGAAATTGTCCAGAAGACATTGTTCCAATAAGATCAGTTAATGAGCTTGGCTTCATCATTCAGGATTAAAAATTCACCTGGCAGTCATCTTAAATCCCATCATTGAGAGGAGGAAATGCTGTTCTTGGGGCAACTGGTAGCAAGCTACTGTAATAACATTTCTGGACAATGAATAGCCATCACAAAATCTGCAGGTTTTAGATAGGCAATCCTGTCTTGTAAATAGTGGTTTTGGGTCATGTAGTCTTAGTGTGATCAGCATAAAAATCCTACTTCAGTATATGGGACATTAGGATTCATGAAGGGGCTCCATTACAGGGTGCTGGCCTATGCAGCTCCCTTTGCAAGCTAATTTAGGGTTCTCCTTTGCAGATCAACGGGTAAGATATCATTTACAAAAGCTATTCTTTTGCTTTTATTTCTGCTCAGATTATGTTCTTGGAGTCTCTCAAACTGGTTGGCAATCTTCCTTTGCAGCCCAACACAATCTAAACCCTTTCCCCTTTGTTAAGCATTGTACAGGTAGTCCTCACTTAATAACGGCAATTGGGACTGGAATTTCCTTCACTAAGCGATGCAGTCATAAAGGATGATGTCATGGGACAGTGATGCTTAGTGAAGGAAATTTTGGCATTTCCAGTTGCCATGGTTAAGCGAATCATCATAGGTCATTAAGCAAGGATGTCATGTGGTTGCCCTTTGTGACTTCCTGCTGGCTTCCCCATTGACTTTGCTAGTCAGAAGCCAGCAAAGAAGGTTGCAAATGCTGACCATGTGACCGCAGAGATGCTGCAATGGACATAAGTATGAGGACCAGTCATAACTACCACTCATTCAGTGCCATTGTAAGTTTGAATGGTCACTGAGTGATCATTAAGTGAGGATCACCTGTAATGGGAAGAAGGAATAACCTTGAGGAACAGGAGGAAGAACCACAACCAAGACAATGGTCAGATAAAAAAAGTCTGAGTCCAGGCCAAAATTGTAACCTGAGAAAGTGTCTCAGACTTGATTCCCCCCACCCCACACTCCAGTTCTCACAAAGATAAAGGTAGGGGGGAAGCACATTCAGATTTGCAAGATTCTGCTACTATAACGTTATAATAAAAATGCTATTAGCATACATGATTTTGGTTTCCTAGTCTGGTCTACCTTGAAGGACTGACAACTGTGCAGTGGAATGAGCAAAAGAACAATTAAGAGCACATTCTATGGAATTAGCTCCTTTTACCCATTGAGTGCTACGCTAGAAAGAGGGTTTCTTCATACACCTTCCTTCCCACCAAGCCACCTG